GAATAACAGATATGGTCTCTGCTCTCAGATGCCTATAATCTAGTGGGGACGATAAGACAATCACAAAAGGAACTATCAGAGAGCAAAACAGTGACCGAGATACTCAGTTAACTTCTGAAGCAGCCTGTTTTCTTTTCCAGACTCCCATTTCTTTGCCTTTGAAGATGACTTTTCTGGAAATTCTGGGATAGAGCCAGCCCCTTAATGTAAAGCAAGTATGTGATTAAGCAGGGTGGGCTCGTTTTCTATGTGAGTGGCTGCTTGCAGCTACAAATAAGTATCCAGCTTGGGGGAACTAAATAAAGAACATGATCAAAAACTTTCTCCTTAAAACATGAAATTACAAACCACAGCAGGCTCAGTGACAAGTATGCTCGTGACCTGGGGAGAGTTGAGTATATTCTTGAGGTTTCCTGTGCTACTAGTTAAAACCATGTAGCCATTGAGTGGAGTACTAGAAAGAAGATTTAATTAGGTAGATAAAGGGCCAGATGTAACCACTGAGGCAGTGAAACTCTTTAAGTGCATTTTCTTTGTACTTATGGTTGAAATTAAAGTAACCAAATTGGGTACTTTGAAAATAGACTGTTTTCATAAACATTATTTTATAAAAGGCCTGACCCATTTTAGTGTACAAAAGTGGATGCTTTCACTCACTTGAAGCTCCTATATTTCAGTCAAGCTTGGTTTTCTATTTAACCCAAGTTCTAAGGCCATCTTTAAAATTTCAGTAGTGGGTATAATATATTTTAAAGAACATGAATTGGATGACAGCATATTTAAATCCAAGCATTAAATCATCTTTTAATGGGAAACTACAGTTTCTCAGAAGCTTTTATTCCATTGCCGCAGCACTAAGGATCAGCTGAATGCTACATAATGAGGTACTTGAATCAATACGCGAGTCCACTGGGCCTTAAGAGCTCTTTGCACTGCTTCAAACAATATTTGTATTGACATTTTTATGCATTATGTGCTTGATTTCAAAATCCAGAAATCTTTCGTTTGCTTCATAGGCTACAAAATGTATTACAGACTAATAAAAATAAATTCTTTCATAGAAATTAAAGGCATAAATATATATTCAACAATAAAAGGCTCCAGCTTCTTAAAACCTTTATCACTTAAAATCAGCTCAACAGCAATAATAACATGCAATAAAGCGAAAATAGGAGCCCTTGGTTTCATAGTTTAAACAAGTGAAAACATATGACTTATTATATTTATTGCACCAAGCAACCCTGTGAGTTAGGAACTATTTTTTCCGTATTACAAATAAGGAAACTGAGGCTCAGAGAGGTTCAGAGCTTCACCAAATATCACATGGTTAAGAACTGAGAGAGCTAAGGTTTGAGATCAGTTTCATCAAACCCCAAAGGCAACACACTTATCCATAAAGAATGCTGCCCAATGGGAAGGAAGAAAATCAACTCTTAGGCTGTCACAGGAATAAAAGAAGGAGGCTATAAAGTGGCAGCAGTAGGAAGTTACCCATCGTGGCTTCCAGCTGGATGAAAACAACTGAAGAGTCAGACATTTCAAAAGAAGAAATGACAGAAAACTGGTAATTTAAATATACATTGCAAAAATATTGCACAAAATCACAGCTGATTTTAGTTTCCATTTTGATAAGCTACATGGCGATTAAGAACACAAACTATGGAGTCAGGCTATCCTGGGTCCAAGTTCTTGCTCTTTTAATAGGGATGTGATTGTGGGCAGTTAACCTTTTTAAGCCTCAGTTTACTAAATAATTTTTAAAATAGGGATAAAAATAATAATTCTGTCTTAGCCTGGATTTCCCCTAATCGCAGAGCCAGAGGTAAACACCACCCTACAATTAGTATCCCTACCTACTGGTAAATCTATAACTTAACCTCTGCCAGCCAATAAAACTTTCTCATGTTTGTTACATTTTTATTGTTTCCAAAGTCCTTTCATGCATATAATTTGATTGACTTTCAGAACAACTCTTGGAGATGAGTGGAACAGGTTAAGAGCCTTAATATTCACAGAGGAGAGACCTGGGGCTCAAAGGAGCAAAGTCATCTTTGTTCAAGGTCATTGTGCTGTTCAGCATACTAAGGGACAAAGACAAGGATAGAATGCAAGTCTTTTCCCTCCATACTCTAGAACATTCTGTTTTATGAGGATTGTAATGATGTTGAAAATTAATGGAATAAATGAAATTTTTTAGGGGTTAAAAAATTAATGAACACCTAGTAGCCCCAGAGGAGGAAACTTACTGTAGAAGTCAAGGCCTTGACACTTGGAGAAATCGAGAAAGCAGACTGGTCCAGACCACAGACTGGAGGTGTCCTATCCTTGCTTTAACTACCAGCAGGGAGAAGGATTCATTGGATGACTTTGCAACACCTTTCCTGGCCTCCAGAGTATAGCTCTTGAACTTGTCCTCTTCAGAGTTAAATCCATCTATTCAATCAGGCTGCTGGAATAAAAAATATTCATATGCAGGTGTTGCTCAGTTTTACAGATTTAACTTCCACGCAGATCAGGCTTTCATACGTTATATACTGACACCATAAAAGCACCTTTCCAGTAGAGAATTCATACTTCTACTTATCAGTTGGCAAACAAGTATTTCAAGCAATCAGTTGACAGTTTAGTTTCCAAAGTGTCACCATTTATAATAGTTACAGTTGTATCTCTATTGTCATTTAAACGCTTTTGCATATCACCCTTAGTACAGGACACAAAAGGCAAATTAAAAAAAAAAAAGATACTACCAGATGATGCAGTAACACTGAAACAAAGGCTGAATAATCTGTAAACAAAAGCTGATATTACTTGGAGGGCTGAAAAAGACAACTTGGTCTCAATACAGTATTCAACTGTATGTTCTATTACATTAAAAAAACAGGTATTCATTATTTATAGCATAATTCTGGAAATGTATGGTTGAACACTATGTCCAAAGAAGGTGTAGCAATGGAGGAAATGGACAGATTCAAAAATTATGAATGGATAAGCAAGATAAAATATTTCAGTGATAAGAATACACAGAAAATTTCTCAAGATCTAAAGATAAGATCTATGGATAAGATACATACCTTTATCAAAAGAACACAAGGAGCATCCAACCTTACATTAACAAAACTTAGAGAAGTTGATAAAATGTCAGCAGATTCAGCATCAAAATATTTCATTTAATTTTGCACAAAATCATCATTAAACGTCTTTTCATATATGTCACTTCAAATATGTGCAGAATAAAGTAATATAAAACAGATAATTATATGAAGTTACAGAAAAACACTTTTCTTGTGTTTATTTTTGTTTAATCTACATAAAGCAAAGGTTGTACTCATCAGTTAAATCACGTCCATAGCACCCAGCAGAGTACCTGGTATATATGAATAACATGAAACAAATCACATTATAAACACTTTTTTGGACTTAATGATTAATCAAGAGGTAAAAACCAACACTTGTAACATAACTGGCAATTTATTATAATTACATATAAGTCTATTGCTGGACTTATGTATACTCACATTTCAAACACAATTCCAAAATGCATCAGGTAAGGAATTGCCTATAGTCTCACAGCCCTTGAACAGAAATGATGTATTCCTAGAAGTGTACATAGGAAACAGGTAGCAAGGTATGGGAGGGGGGGTGATTTCCAGTTCCACAGTTAACCATGACCTTCTTGCCAAAACACTTCTCTCAAGGCCTGTTTTCTCATCTGCAAAAGGTAATCCCCTGTGCTAAAATGTCGAAAGAAAGAGAAAAAAAGAAAGGAAGGAAGGAAGGAAGGAAGGAAGGAAGGAAGGAAGGAAGGAAGGAAGGAAAGAAAGAAAGAAAGAAAGAAAGAAAGAAAGAAAGAAAGAAAGAAAGAAAGAAAGAAAGAAAGAAGAAAGAAAGAAAGAAAGAAAGAAAGAAAGAAAGAAAGAAAGAAAGAAAGAAAGAAAGAAAGAAAGAAAGAAAGAAAGGAGTAACATGAAAATGAAGAAAGGTCAAGTGTTCTTGATCATCTCCGTATTCTTAAATCATCCCATGCCTGCCCCAAAGTCAGAGTCACGCCCTCCTCAGCACTCTCAAGGCCCTCAGCCCAGACCTTTGTCACTCTTAGTTCATCACTCTATTACTTTCCCCTCTATTAGGCAGTAATTCTTTTCTCCCAATTCCTGGGGAGCTGGTAGTTATGGTCTCAAAAACATACAACCAGTTCAGCCTGTGAAGAGTGGGGCCAATGGAAAATGGGTAAGTCTTGGGAGCAGTCCAATTTTTAACACATAATGCCCGCATTCTACGATGTGCTCCTTATAAGACCCCTAGGTGGGTACTACTAAAGGTTCTCATTTTAAAGAAGAGGAAATTGAAGTTTACAGAAACTCTTCCAATGGCATCCAACATTTAAGGGGCAGAGGCTGAATTTGAATTCAGACCAAACCTGTTTGACTTTCCATCAACTGTTAGACAGGGTTCTGGTTGGCTTCCAGGAAGCAGGCCCCCTCAGCTGCGAAGTGAACACCCATGCGCAGGGTCCGGAGGGCGGGTGGGGCTGCTGGAACCTTGGACACCGAGCCACGCGCCGGCCTTAAGGGTGGGGGTCCCCTTAAGGAAGGGGGCAGATTTTTCTCACCCGACAAAAAATAACTCCCCAATTGGAAGGGGTTTTCTCTGAGGGCCGCCCGTTCTAGGCGGAGGGCTGGGCAGATGCACGAGGACCAGGCCAACTGGCGGAGGGAGAAGCTGGCCCGTCGGCGGGCTTCCGAGGGGGGGTTCAGAGGGGAGGCGGCAGCCCGGGGGAGCCAGGAGCCCTGGACACGGGCCAGCCAGGTGGGCTACAAGCAGCACGGCCTGGTGAGAAGGGAGTTGACCGGGCGCGAGAGCCGGAAGGCGGCAGGCCCCGAGGGGCGCCG